GCCCACGACGCCCGTGCTCGGGCCGCACCCCGCCCCTCCTGAGCCCGGGCAGCCGGGCGCCTCTTACCTGAGAGACAACGCCAAAGCCGGGAGACTACACCGCGCCAGCCTCACGCACCGAACCGCCATGACTGCCGCTGCCGCCGCCGGCACTGCGCGCTCACTGGGCATGCGCAGAGGCCGCTGGCCCGCCCCCTCGGGGGCTAGGCCACTCGCGCAAAGCCTGTGTTTGCTTCCCCGCCCAATTATTCCCCTCAGCCAATCCACCTCCGCTTCCTTTTGATGGACAGACTACACGCACCAATAATTGCCTGTCATGACGGAGCACTCTTCCCCCACCATCTGGTGGGAGGGGTCTGAGACCTTCCGGAGCCCCAGGAGGTGAGGAGGTGAAAGGTGAAGGAAACAGCCGGCGGAGACTCCGTGGATGGGCGTGGTCAAGGGAAGAACCAATGGGAGGAAGCGTGGGTGGCTGGGCGCCGGAAGTGCGGGCGCTCTAGGTGGTGTAGACTCGGCAGTGGGCTTTCCTTTGCGGACGCGCGTTTTCCGTTTCCCGCAGCCCTTTTCTCTGGGAGCCGGCGTGGGGCCGTGGCAGCCGGCTGTCCTCTGCTTCTCCTGTGCTCCCTCACAGCCCGAGCTCCTGGAACCGTGCCGGGCACAGGGCGCTCAGTGTAGGCTAGATGCAGGTAGGCGGGCCAAGGGCAAAAGCACGTCTGCAGACAACCGAGGGACTTTAGAAAGTACAGTCCTGGCTGCTCCGCAGAGGCCGGTGGCTGCAGGGGCCTCCGTCGCGATCTGTGAGTTTTATTAACACAAAACCGAAACCCTAGGAAGCAAACGTGACACCACGCGGCAGTCCTGGTGCTGGATGAGGAGAACGTGGGTGTACGTTGTTTTCTTTGCAATCACATCGTCTTCAGTTTTCTCAGAGTAAAACAAAACAGCAAAATATGAACAGCATCTAGGAAAACTGGGGACACAGCTAAAGATCATAAGTCCAAATGTTTTCGTTACTCTAACAAAGGTCAGTGCTACCATATCCCGTCCCACCAAGGAGCCGAGGTGCTGGACGGGGAGGTGATGCTTGTTTTCATACCCCCCTGCCGCTGCCCTCCAGGCTCTGTCCTGACTCCCGCTTCAGCACTGCCTGGCCTGCTGTCCTCTCCACCAGGATCGAGGGCTGGAGCTTGTCCTCTCTGCTAACATGGAGGTCTGCCCCAGATCCCCGGGCTGAAGCCTGTGTTCTCCCCCAGACCCCGGTGCTGCAGCCTGTGTATCCCAAGTGGAGGGCTGCCTGCTTGTCGTATTTGTGAGAACCAAACCTATGTTTTTTCCCTTTGTTTCCATTAAAACCACTCGTCATATTGAATACCTACTGTTTGCCAGGCCCTGTGCCACCTGCTGTACGAGGCAAAAAGCCAAATCCAGTGGAATATTCCACTGGACAAATGGCCCTGTGTATTAATTCATTAGGGGCTGGTGGGAAAAAGGAAGTAAGACTGAGGGTAAAGAGCTTAAAAAACATAGTGGGATGGAATGTATGGACCTTACTTGGATCATGATAGAGCAAACCAACTGTAAAAAAGACACTTCTGAGACCATAGGGGGAATCTGAATATAAATAGTTTTGGATGACAGTAAGGAGCTACTGATACTTTCCTTAGGGAGAGACAGTGGCCTGGTGGTTAGGTAAACATGCCCTAATTGTTTAGCGATGCCAATGCTGAGTGTTGGAAGTGTTTACTGTAAGTTGCCACAGTGTCTGAAGTTGCTTTATGATTACTCAGGTGAAAAAAAATGAGGATCAGAGAAACACAAGTGGCAAAATGTTAAAATGGTTGAGATGGACGATGAAGAGTGTGCGGAATTATGACTACTGTGTGTGTTTGAAGTTTTCTGTAACAAAATTTAAAACATGTCCTGTTTCTCACTGGCTGTGACCTTGGGCAAGGCATTTGTTCTCAGCATTGATCCGCTCACCTGTAAAACTGGGATTATATAATTTATTGTGAGGTTTAAAAGAGGTGCAATATGCACTTTCTAATTCTTCTTGGGGCTCAAGGGAATCAGGTGGGAACCCTGCCCTCAGTAGCTCACAGTGCCGCATGGGGCAGTCAACAGGTAGTTGCAGCCGCTGTGTCCTGAGACAGAGGAGCACTGGTGGTTGCAGTGGCAATGTTTCTGGGGACACTGAATTGCCCTGGATCCATGCCAGACAGGAGGCGGTGCCCTGGGTGGGCGTCTAACCGTGGATTTTCCTGAACAGAGGCCTGTCTGTGCTGCCACCTGGTGGCCACATTGGGAATTACTCCCCTGGGAGCCTGCTCAGGTAGGTAATCCCCTGAGGTCTGTAACTTCATCACGCCACTGCAAATCATCAGCACAGGGAGAGGAAGACTCCTGGAACAGCCCTTGGAACCTATTTCCAGTAAAAGGAGTGGGCGGCCCGGGCTGGGAGTGCAGGAAGAGCAAGCTAAACGGCCCCCAGTAGGGATGGGGCAGTGTTTAAAAGAAAACACCCTCAGGAGAAGGTCGTACAGAAGGTGGGACGGCATCTGGGCAGTGGGTGTGATGCTCATGACAGCTGAGGGCCCGTGAGCGCCAGGCTCCATGCAGGTGCCCTCTCGTGGACCAACCCACCTTGTAGCAACTGGGGGATGGGGGACGGGCCAGGTTAAGCCACACACTGGAGAAAAGGCAGAGTCTTTGCGTGTTTTTCCCAGCTAATTCCAGCCCAGGTGACCGTCAGGTCTGAAGCCAGAATCGTCATTTATCTATTCCATTATGTGGCCACGAGCTGTGCCATCATCTTCATCATCGTCATTGTCCCTTGGGAGGGACATGGATTTTCATCCTTTTATCCAACTCTGAAATAAGCTAATTAAAAAGAAAATATGGGTATGATGGTTGTAGTAGACAGAATTCTAAAAATAGCCCTCCAAATACTCACCCTCTGGTTATTCAGTCAAACACTAATCTGCGTCCCGCCGTGAAGGGACTTTGCAGATGTAGTTGGAGTCCCCAGCCATGTGGCCTTCATGGAGGTCACCTGGTGGACTTGACCTTCGTGAGCCTTTTAAAAGCAGAGAGATTCCCCCCATAGGCGAAGTCAGGGAGCTTCACAGCATGAGAAAGACTCAGCTCACCATGGCTGGTGTGAAGGTGGACAGGTCTTGGGAGAAGGTGGCCTCAGGGAGCAGAGTGCAGGCCCCCATCTGGCCACCAGCGAGGGCTTGAGGACCTCAGATCCGCTGGAGTCCACCGGCCATCTGAGCAGGCCCCAGACCACAGCCCAGCCCGGCTTTGTGAGATGCCCAGTGGAGAACCTCCCCACCCCGCAGCTCACCAAGCCACAGAATGATTCCCTGATGTGGCCACTGCTTTCATCCTCTCCACTTTATTCTGTCTCAGTACTCAGGATGGATTAGCCAGAAACCTTGTTCCCATCTGCATCACGGAGTCTCATTCTTGGCCCACTTTTGTTTGTTCCAGTGCTTCAGGGGACACTTTTCCCCCCAGCCTCCACTGGGAAGAAGTGGAGGCTCCTTGGTTAAGAGATTTCCCTGAAAGGGGGACCTGACAACTGACAGTAGGTTTCATCCCCCGTTCCTCCTGAGCACACGGGCTCCAAACGGAAGCTTTATGTTCTTGGTAAGAAATGCCACCAGAAGGGGCCCCCAACATTCAAGCTGAAATAGCTTTCTGCAAAAAGTTGCATGAGGATCGAGTAAATGCAGCCTTAACTGGCAGCCATCTCCCCGAGGGCATAAGGAGGCCAGGTAGGGCTTATCATGGGTACCATGGGTACCATCTTCCCCTCCCACAGAGACGCCCAAAGGGCAGGGAAGGAGAGAGTGGGCGGCCAAGTCCTGAATCCCGAGGAGAGCGTCTTAAAAAGCCTGTGACTATAACTCAATAAAAAAATGTTAAAAAAAAAGCCTATAGACATGAGAGAGCATTTGAATCTGAGGCTGATTAAATTTTTCATCACAAACCCACTGCGATTTCAACTCTCCTGCGAGTTGGTTGAATCTGCCATTAGCCGGAAACGGAACTGTGAAAAGCGTGAGGGTTGGCAGGAGGGACAGTTTCTCATGATACAAATGATAGATGCTTATTATAGAAATACTAGAAAAAGTAGGGGAGGGTATGGTTCAGTGGTAGAGTGTGTGTTTAGCATGCATGAAGTCCTGGATTCAATCCCCAGTACTGCCAATAAACATAAATAAATAAATAAACTTAATTACCCCCCCAAAGAAGAAAAAAGAAAAATGCCTAAAAAATTAAAAATTAAAAAATATGTACATAGTAAGATAATGTAGGAATATTCACCTCTCCCCCTCTGAATTCCTCTTTCTCTTGTCCTGGTTGGGACCTTAGGCACCTGCACTGTCTGTCTCCCCTTGACCCCAGCCTTAGATTGATCACAAACCCAGAACTGGATCAGGAGGCATCTTGAGATGGCAGCAGTGACCCTGAGATGAGCGGAGAGGAAGTGGGTCCCTTCGCTTGCATCACGAGGCTGATGATGCTCACGTTATTGTGAGAAGCCCGGCTCAAAGGCAGAGGGGCTCTCTGGAGCTGTGGCTGAACCTGGGGTGCTTCACAACCTCCTTTCCCGCCGCTAGTAGCCTGGGGTGGCTGTCAGGAGACACGGACACGGATACAGGGACCCCCATAGGGGCAGCGGGCGCACCTGCCTCCGCTCTCACCCCAAAGCCCTCCTGGAACAGGAATCAGAATCCCTTGGGGGGAGAAGGGGTGGAACAGCTTACAGGGCAGCCATGGGGTGCACATCCTCTCGAGAGGAGTGATGGGATGGGGAAAGGATGCAGGGTCTCAGGATGGGGACGGTTCATTGTCTTGTGGGGGCTTCACTTTGAGGCTGGCATGGAGGGGTCCTTCCAAACCCTCACCTCTCAGGGGCAGCCTCTGAACCCACCCCGCACCTCTCTTCACATGTGCCCAATTCCAGCTCCAGTGGGTGGAACTGGAGTGGGGAGGCTTGGGCCATGCCTGGAGGAAGGAGCTGGTGTGGGAGGATGGGGAGCCTAGTGAGTCTGCCTGAGGCCACGGGGACCACCAGGGTGGGGGGGCCACCAGGGTGGCGGGGGACTACCAGGGGGGGACCACCAGGGTGGGGGGGCACCAGGGTTGGGGAGAACTACCAGGGTGGGGGGGACCAGAAGTGTTGGGGGAGGAGGCCCCAAAGGGACAACCAGCGGGGCCTCCCTGGGGGCTTGCAGGGAAGGCTGGCCTCAGGCCCTGATGGGGGGTCTTTGTCACCTCTCAGGAAGACCCTCTCCAGAGGAACCCACCCTCCTGCCACCCCCTGAAATGTCAGGCCCCTGCTCAGGGGCACCTGCAGGGGTTGGTAGTAAGCAGGAACAGGTAAATGCAACGTCCTTCTTTCCAGAGCTCATGGCAGCATCTCCCCTGGGCCTTGCCTTTTCCTCTCCAGATGCCCGGTCCTCACTGGGTCCTTCCCCTCCTCGCCCTCGAGGGTCACCCTAAATCTCTTCTCCCTTCTTACACACTGTGGATGCCACACACTGCCGGGCAGCCGGCAGTCCAAGTGCAGGCTGCTGTCCCAGACCGTGGGAAGGGAGGGACCAGAAGAGAAGGTTCAGGAGGGAAGAACGTTCGGAGCAGCTGACAGCAAAAGACAGTGAGCACACACCTTGCGTTTTTGCAGGCATAAGCTTCCTCTAACCTCAGTTTTCTCGTCCATCTAGCTGAGCCATCCCTCACTTCTGCTCCTCTTCTTTGAATGTCTAAGTCATGGTCTCCTGGGGGCTTTACTGGGCACCTTGAGTCTTCATCACCTTTTCCCCGGAGGCCTTAGGGATTTCAGGCCAAGGTGGCGCCCCACAGTGCTGGAGTTCTCAGGTGAGCGGCACGTCTACTGCCAGAGCCCTGCTGCCCGGCCAGCGCCTTTACTGAGTCGGGGGGAGGGAGTACAGGGGAGAGAAGGCCGGCTTGGTTAGTTTATTTGAAACAGGCTCTGTCCCTTCCTAACTGAGTGGCCTTGGACAAATTGCTTAACCTCTCTGAGCTTGTTTCCTCACCAGTGAAAGGGCGATCCTGAGATTATACAGAGGAAAGGGCACAGGTGTGTGAGCGACTTCTGTCCCCGTGGCGGAGGTAGGTGGGCCTTTTCCAAAGGCTGGTCCTTCCTTTGGTAAGCTCACCTCCCCAGGGCTGCAGCTGAGTGGTCCCAGGATGTGGGCACCCCCACTTCTGCCTCGGTGGTGGAGCAGGAAATGCTGCAGCAGTCACCTGGGTTGTTCTGTCCCTCAGCCTTTAGACTCGAGGGTTGGCAGTTTCGGATTTCTGATTGGGACCCAGTTTGTAAATCAGGATAATCAGAGCCCAGTAGGGCTGCGGCCCTGGGAGGAAGTCACTGCGTGAAGGAGGAGGTGAGCGCGCTGTGTGAGAGGATGCCAGGGGCGGCTCCGGCTGGTCTCGGGGAGATGCTGAGTGGTCCAGAGGGGCCCTGTGTCCGCAGGGTGCATGATGACCCGTCAGTGCGCTGGCTGCCCCGCCCTCACAGTTGCGCAGTCATAAGCATATGGCCTGCCTGCCACATTCGGGGACCACAGGATAGATTTTGTGGGGCGTGTGTTCATTTATGGGCTGTGATTCAGCATGGGGGTGGGGAGGGGAGGGGATGGGTGGACACGGATACCAGCAGCCGCAGGGTCTCTGGACAAGAACGGAGATGGGTCATCAGATCTGAGGGGTGGAAACAGGAGGGGGACCTGGAAGAAGGAAAGAAGGAAGCGCGGTGACACGAAGCACCATGACATGAGGGGACGTCCAGCACCTCCTCCTGCAGGCTCCGGCTGCAAGGTGCACTGGGAGACTGGGGTGGGGATAGCCACTGGGTTTGAGTAGACCCTTAGCAGGTCAGTTAGGAATGCGTTTAGCTGCAAGTCTGAAAACCTGACTACTGGGGATTCAAACCAGTAGGAGTTTATATTCCTCCTGTAAGGAACATAACGACATCCAGAGGGAACAGCACCTGGCATGGGTTTGGCTGCCTCATGACACTGCCAGGGATGAGGCTGCTGTGTCTCCGGACATCACATCAATGTCCAAGGCAGGAAGATGGAGGACAGGAAGACCTTTTCGCTTTGTGATCTTTGCTTTTGGGATCAAAAAGGGAAGCTCCTCTGGCAGTCCCCTTACATCTCATTGGTCACCACTGGGTCATATGCCCACCCTTTAACCAATCACAGGCCAGAGGAATATGGTGCCAGGACTGGTGTAGACCAATCACAACTCACACCTTTCATGGGCAGACCTGCCTTTGCTGAGATCCTGAAAGCTTCAGGTGCTGCCTGCTGCCTGTGGATGTGGAGGGCAGGGATGGGGTGGTGCCCGGGGTAGGCGAGGCTGTACAAAGTCCACGCACACGTGACCTTCCCTAGGTGGGATCCTCCCCTGACCCTTGTAAAGATGGAGAAGAGAGGACACAGTCCTGCAAGCAGGCCACACCCGGCTGGAACTTGCCCCAGGCCACTGCTGTCCACCTGGCCCTGGCAGATGCTGGAGCTGCGACTCTGGCAGGGAGGGGCCCCGTCAGTAGTAACTTAGGCAGCCCCAGCCGGAGGCTGGAGGCGCTCTGCGCCATCTCCATCGGTGGCATCCCTGGCTTACACACCTCCAGCAATGGGGAGCTCTCCACCTGCACAGGCCTGGCGGCTCTGGCCAGGCCCTATGGGGCATAGGAAGAACCTCTCCATCCCTGGGGAGGCTGGAAAATAGACAATGGAAACTCAGCCAGGAAAGTTTTATGCGCCATCTATGCTATGGCCATGGCGAATAGAGAAAGAGCTTAGAAAAATGCAGCCTTTGATCCAGGCCCAGGGGTCAGGAGGTGGACTTGTCCAGCTCCTGGCTTTCAAGTTGCTAAGTGGGAAAATCTCTGCAATCCTCACCGCCCCTCTCCCCAGGCTTGTCCCTGTCCCCGTGGCTGTGAAAGGCTGAACCAGATCCAAGGGGGTCTTCCGGTGTCCCCTGACCCCATCTCTCTCCCCCTCTGCTATCTCTGTCCTCTCATTCAAGCTATGAGTACTTAAAAAACACTTTTGAGAATTTCCAAGGCCTGCATGGAGCTGCCAAGAAAATAGCAGATTCTGGGAAACAAACAGTTGGCAATGATCCTTCAGCTCAACCAAGGGGGGTCGGAGGAAAGATTCACCCCCACCTCCCTCCAAACTCTCCACCAAAGACAGAGCCCCACCCCCAGGAGGGTCCCAAGTGGGGGCCGATCTCAGTGGGGTACGTGAGTGCAGAGGCTGGCAGGCGTTCATTCCCCCAGGTGGATGAGAAAGTGGGTATTGCTCTGATGGGGGGAGGATGTGAGCGCTGGAGGGGACTGTCATCTTTTCCAGACCCCCTGCCAACGTGCGTGCTGGCCCGCCAGGTCTGGTTGAGAACAGAAACGGCTGTTGCTGGGGAGGCGGGCAGAGGCCACGTCTCGGCGGACGGCCGAGAGCCTTGCAGGCTCACCGTGCAGCCGGGAGCCCTGGGCCCTGCGGGCCCTGTGGGCTGGGCAGGGTCACCTTCCTCCCTCCCTCCTCCCTCCTCCTCGCGCCAGCGGGGACGTAAGGGAACGTCACTCTGGAGGGGACGAGCTCCCCAACGCCTTGTGTCCCTCATCTCCAAAAAGGATCATAGTTCCCAACTCGGCTGAGTTTTGCTGCTGTGACAAACGGTATTTCATACGTGCACTTTCATTTAAATGTCAAAACAGCTCTTTGTGGTAAATAGTATCATCTCCATTTTATGGGTGAGTAAAACCGAGGCTCAAGGTTAAGTCAGTTTCCCCAGGGTGAGTAGGTTAGAGGGAGATTTAGGATTGAGCCTGGTCTCTTATTCAATGACAAGTTCCTCCCAGAGGGGTGTCCCCGCCCCTCAGTAACCGTGACTTTGCACAGGTTGCTTTTCCCCTCTGTGCTTCTCATCTGTGAATGGAGACAGACCCTCAGGGTTGTGCATCTCAAAATGTGAAAGTCAGCCTGGACTAGAGGCCCTCTGCCGACATCCCGGGCTGCGGGGCCTGCTTGGCTCCCCTGACAGAGCGCACGGACCGCGGGGCTCGGACAGCACAGGCTCGTTTTCTCACAGTCCTGGGACCGGGAGTCCAGGTCAGAGCGCTGGCGTGGTCGGGATTCTGGTGGGCTTCTCCTCCCGACTCGAGGTTCACTGCCTCCTGGCTGGGGTCTCCTCCTCTTCTTAGGGGGCACTAATCCCATCAGGGGCCCCACTCCCATGACCTAATGACCTGATTACCCTAAAGGCCCACCTCCAAGTAGCGTCTCAAGGTGGGAGGGGTTAGGGCTTCAACATGTGAATTTTGGAGGAACACGAACATCCAGTCCACAGGAGACCCCTCTTTTTCTGGGCTCAGTACCAAGTGCCAGAGTCTGAGTGCCCCCTCCTCCCCCAACAATGCAGCTTTTGTTGCTGTACCTGAATCGCATCCTGTGTTTGCTTCCTCTGCTGGCGAGAAGCCATGAGTGGTCTTTTCTCTGTTGGTGACGGGTTAAGGGGCAGAGGTGAGGCCGGAGCCTGCTGTGGGCACGTCGAGTGCAGCTTTTATAGTCATCAGGAAGTCTCTAGAACGGTCCACCCGAGTCACTTCTGTCTAGCCCCATGGCCATTGTCCTGGTGGTCCAGGATGGCTCCTGTTGGTCTCTAACACACCTTCCACGCAACATCCAGAGGCATCTTTCTAAAAGGCAGGTCTGACTTGGCAACCCGCTGCCTAAACCCTTCCACGCCTCCTCGTTGCCTTCAGGGAAAACACCTCTGCTTCACACAGTCACAGGTGCCTGCAGATCTGGTCCTTGTTCTCCTCTGCGAGGTCACCTCTTCCCTGCCTTCTCCCTCAACACCAGGCAGATGGCATGGATTTTGGCTCTGGACCCTGGCTGAGATCCGCACTCCGTCTGAGAACTTGTCTCCTCCCTCTGCTCCCCCTTCTCTGCCTCAGACCCCACCTGGCTGCCTCCCCAGCCCCTCCCACCCAGGCTGGGTCAGGGCCCTCTGTGCATACCCGTCCCAAGAGGTGGGTCAGTGCCACACCGGGCTCCGGAGCCTAGCTACCTGGAACTCAGCCTGGAGACCCAGCAGGTTCTTAACTTCCGCGTCCTCCCCTTCTGCATCCTCCCAGCCCCTACCCGATGGGGAGGCTGTGAGGGCTGAGCGAGGCGCTGATGCACAGAAGGGCTTAACCCCCTCGGTAGGCAGCCCCATCAGCACCCGCAGTGCGAGCCGGGCTGGCCCTGTGGGCAATCAAGGAGGCTCACAGGCACTCAGCACGTGGTCCGACCTCTTAACTGTACAGACACAGGCTCCCTGAAGGCCAGGCTGTGATTTGTCCACCCCACGGTGTGGCCAGGGCCAGGGCTCGGGCAACATGTGTGCAAGAGGCTGAAACCGTGGGTCCGCCTGCTGCCTGGTCCACAGCCGTTGTCGGAGTGTGGGATTCCTGTGTGAATACACCTCGGTTACTTTCCATCCTCCTGTGACTTGGCTTGGATGACTACCTTATTTTGCCTAAAAGACTAACCATTAGTGATTCATGTGCAAGGTCCCAATGGGTCAATACTAGTCTGGCAATTGTTCCCCTTACCTTCCTCCCCCTCCCTCCCATGCCCCCCTTCCTTCCCTTCCTTCCATGTTAATTTAAGTCCCTGGTTTTGGTGTTAGGTGTTCAGGTTCAGCAGTGAATGAGCTACCCACCTGCCCTTATGCTATGGTCTTAATGGGTCACTTAATGGGTGCCTCCAAAGCAGTCACCAGAGGTGGTGTGATGGTGCAGGTGTGAAGGAGCATGGAGGTGAGCGGTCTGGCTCCTGCACTAGTGACGATTGCAGGTGCTGAGCTGGCCCTGGGCTCTGCCAAATTCATCCCTTTCTCATTGGACAATGATGGAAATCACTGCCCACCTCCAACACGGGCTGACGCCTACGCACCGGCCTTTTTGAAGACCAAACAAAACGGTGGCTGTGTGAGATCCCTGTAAAGAGCAACGGCTGCGAGGTTTTTGATTTAGGGAATCCTACCTTCCCGTGTAAATGAACTTTTCTTGTTTAAGTATTTTGTAAGTCGCAAAACTAAAAACACGTGCGTTGAAAAAAAGTCTGAGCCTACGCGTCAAAGCCGGTAAACAAAAAGGCGAGCGGGTC